CTGGCGTGTCGATTGTCCGAAAAAATAACGACTTTTTTCTCTCGAAAAGCAATTTCACTCGGCTCGTGCCGAATCGATCTCCATCTCCACTCCAACTCCTTTCGAAACCCGTTTAAAAAGAGTATAACAGTCCAGGAAGGCCAGGAAGGCCGATATAACCTTATCGATCACATCACTCGAAATCCCTCGAAGAACGACGAGCACGTGGCTCTCCTGCCTTGGATCCGATCCAATTTGAATCCGATTTTCGTCTCGCGTTTTCTTATGTAAAATCGGCGGCGCACTTGTTGCTGCTTTTACTAATGAAACTTTTGTGTCGCGGCCCGAACATCGATTGCACGAACAGGTGGTTAATAGCGGGACGGTCACTGTTTACGCCCCCTCCCTCCTTCCCTGGCCAACACCTGTTTTTCCCTTCTCCTCCTCGCTCCATCGAACCCCTGCCTATTATTTATGCAAATCTCGCGCTCATCGTTCATCGCTGCGAACGACAAAAATTCCATTCCCTCGCTCTTTCACAAATCCCATAAACTCCTTGCCCTCCTTCAACCCTCAACAACAATCCCACCAGAGATTTTTCACTTCAGAGATTTTAAACACTCCCTCTCCTTCCCCTCGCTCCTCATGCCCTCTCGCTCAGGGATTTTTGGTCCACTTGGCGGTTTTGCCTGTAATCGATAAAGGTACTTCCCGGTCGTAGAGGCTCGTCGTCAGACTGTGTTGTCCTCGTTTCATCGAGCAACGGTCGCTTCATCGATCTTTCATCGTGGTTCGGCTCGGCCCCCATCGGGAAGACCCAGCCACAAAGCTCGCAAGCTCGGATTTTCCTCCTCCCATCCCCTCAACGAATTTGGAATTGGCCACGCTAATTGGATTTCTAGGTTATGTTACGTTAGTTAGTTACGACGAAGACGTCGAGAATAATCCCTGTGTCGAAACTCTTTCTTCGAATCTATTATTATTATTATTATTACTGTTATTGTTATTATTATTATTATTATTAATCGTTTTCTTTCTTCCATCTTATTTATTTTTTTCTCTACGCGAGGAGAAGGAAGAGGAGGGAGAGAGGAGGAAAGAGGAGGAGGAGGAGGAGAAAAGTGGTCGTTGAACGACGATAGGGAAAGAAGGTAGCCGGGATCCATCGACCGTTCCGAACGATTAACAAAGAGTGTTGAAATGAAACACACTAACTGAGATCCTGGACGAGGCCCTAACACCCGTGCATGCAAGCAACTGCTGTCTTTGAACCCCGGGTTGCCGGCTTTCAGGAGGCTCTCGATCGATAAACGGCCCCCGTTCTTACTTTAAATCACTCTCGACAGGACAAGGATCGACGACAGCGCCGTGATCGCTAGGGAATTCCCTAGCTCCCCCGCGCCGGCCGACACGCTCGAGGCTATCGCGCTGCAGGCCTCCGGCGCTGGATCTGCAACAAAATTAGAGGAACAATCGGTGAAAATGGTTTTAAGGTTTGAAAAGGGTTGGTGATTCGAAGATAAGAGGGAGCATTTATTAAGTTTAAGGAAAGTTTGTTCTTTGAATAATTTATCTGGCGTGGAGTGGATTTTCGATCGAGTATATGAATATTTTTTTTTATATTTTGAAAGTTGATATATTTTGGAAAAATTGTGAATTTTTATGGTGAGTGAGAGAAACAGGCATTGAAATTAAGATATAAGATAGATATTTTCAAATATGTGTTATGGTCGAAGAGATATTATTATTCAAGATAAGGTAGAAATGAAAGGTGGGATAAAAACGAAATGTGTACTTGAACGATGTGTTTATGTAAATTTAATTGTTTAATCTGTTGACGATAAAGGTTTTTAATTCACGTTGCCTCGTGATTCGTGGCCACTTGGTGTTTCCGAACGAAAGGCGAAAAATAGTCGAAGCTCTTGGTTCCGACTGTTACGCGATCCGCCATTAAATAAGGAAGATCGATCACGAGAGTTCGTCACGCAATTCCACCTCCCTTCAAGTTTCTTTTAAATATAAATGTTTCTTACCTTTGAATTTCTTGATCTTCTTTTACACAAACTTGAATAAAATTGTTAAAAATTATACGTATATATCTTTTAGAAAATTAATTTATCAATTTTTAGGTTATGTTGCCAAATAAACTCGATCGGTATCCAATTATTTTAAATGCAATTGATTATTGAAAATTTACAATTTGTCACGAATAATCAAAATATATGGCCACATCAATCACATAATACAATGCAGAAAATATAATATATTCGTGGAACACTTTTGGAAGGATGGAGGGATTATTTGTTAAGTCACTGCAGATTTAAAGATATCATAAAAAAAGAGGTTAGGATTATTTGAATATTTCATATTCATTGCAAATAAATATCCTCTAATCTCCAATTTCATCCAATACAAACGTACAAAGATTCAATTCTAATTCAACAGTATCAATTTTTATTTTTATCCACCAAATATATTCGCGTATTAAATTTTCGACCGACACCGATGATGATCAAAAAACCTATTAAGCGTGTTACTGCATACAACGTTTCGAGAGATTGCGTTCCACTGGTGTACACGACGAGCCCTTTAACCACCACCGTCTGCTGGCGATTGTTATTAAAAGAAACGAGGTGGGTGGCAATTTGCATCCCCTCGGTGAGGGATGGCGGCTAAGTGTCCCATTAATTAAGCTGCCGCCTGAAGATTGGTGGGCACGTTGAACGCTGTAATACCAACGTTATTTCGGAGTTTAACGGCGAAAGTTAAACAAGCATTAACCGTTATAGCCTGGTGTTTCTAGGAATTGGCCTTACAGCCAACGAGGGAAACCGATACTTTGGGGGCGCGAATTTTAGATAGCGTTTAAGGCTAAAATTCTCAGGGGATCGTCGTCATTCTTCCCTTTTTGAAAGAATTTTCTAAGAATTATTGTATATAATAGATATAATAATTTTTAATTTCGCGGTTCCCTCTAATTTTTTGGTAGAATCCTTGAGAGTCTGAGAATAGAATTTAAAACGATATCTAAAATTCTCGAGAATTGCTTTTGATTGTTCACAAAACAATTTCTGTTTCGAAAATTATCGAATTTATTTAATTTTATTAACTTGAGTATAATCATAAATCTATTTAGAAATAAAACTTTTGCTGATTATTCTTTAAGATATTTTTCACAAGTGAGTATATAGTTGTTCAATAGTAACTTCAAGTGGAAATAACAAAAGTTAATATAGAAGAATCAATAATTTATTCTTAAATATTCTTAAATGGATAAACAAAAAAAATAATATGGATATAAAATATAAAATGGATAAAAGAAAAATATTCTAATCTCTCCCTTGATCGAGCAATTTTCGTGAGTTTCGATCAATCACGGATGGTTAACGAAGGATCGAGGCGCGATAAGAAATTATCGTCGAGTATCGTGATAAAGAAAAAAAATTTTAATCCCTTGTCTCGTAATATCGTGTAATAGATTTGAGGTAGACTTTATTTAACGAGGAACGCTAACCATAAATTTTCATATACAGATCTTAATCTCTTTGATAAATAGAAAAAAAAAGTAAGAAATTAACGATCGAAGCTGAACGACCTTCAGAAAAAAAAAGAAGAAAATTAATTTATATCAATCATAATCAAAGAGTTATTATTATTCCAAACGAACGAGCAATTAATTCAACAATTCCTTTCTACGAGTCTTATTCTATCAGGAGAATTTATCTCCTTTTTTTTTTTTTTTAAATCTCAAAACGTTGGTTAAAAAACGAAGGATGTGGGGTTTGGAAGCAATTTCGTTTGGAGAACGATAACCAGGAAGGGGAGTGGCGACATCGAATTCGATTCGACCAAATACCAGCTTTAATCCGGAACAATCTCGAGCAAACAAACGCTGGGAATTATGCGGGAGAGGAGCGAGGATACGCGGGGGGAGGGAGGGTGGAGGTGGACGAGTCGTCACGCGACGATAACAACCTGGATAATTGTTCGAAACGTGGAAACAACATCGAAAATCTCGCAACCCAGCTTTGAATTATTTATCGCCTCGCATTATCGTAGATAGATGGGTTGGATAATTTCTAGACATAGTAATAATTGCCTGTGGTAACTGCTGCTAATGCCGTGGGCAAACGAGGCATCGTGCTCGATGGTGGAAATAAAAAAAATAACCACTTGTCACTGGTGATCGAAGACAACGGCGAGGAGTTTTGATAACGTGCATCCACTTGCGCGATATGAATGATATTTTTCACGGAAAATAAGATATATATGGTGGAAAAGCGAGATAGAAAAGGCTCGTGTAATGAAAGATTAAAGGAAGGTATTGGTGGTGGAGTGGATAGAGCGCTCGACTTGCGTCTTGGAGGTCACGGGTTCGATTCCTCGTAGGGAGCGAAGTAATTTTTCTAATGGTTTTTTCGCCATTTTTCTTTCCAATTCTTGTCTTTGTTACAACAATCTTTATCCAAGATAAAAAGAAAGATAACAAGCACAGTGAATTGAAAAAAATAATTCTCTTCCATCTTTATTTGGAAATCGAAATAATAATATTTATTATGTATGGTTTCTTGAGAATTGATTTGTTGTATAATTATTTAAATTATTTTAAGAAACTGTTTTATAAAATCTTTAAAGAAAAGAAAGAGATCTTTAATGAAAAATTTCTGATGAACACGCGATTCCATTTAAGTCCTTTTGTAAAAGGAAAGAAGATTACAGGAAAAGATTCTAAGGAACTTTTTCAGTGATATAAGAGAAAAGGAAGAAAAAGGATACGATGATTTTCTTAAAAGAAATAGTATTATATGGTTCTTTTAGAGAAAGAAAGAAAGAACAAATTTGAAGAAAAAACCAAAGAATCAGAAGGAAGGGATAAAAACAATAGGTATTAATAAAAGCAATTAACACCAAAATTTCTAAAGGGAAAGAGAAAAAAATTTAGAAATACAAAAATTACTTAAAATATTACTAAAAAAGTATTTCCAAAGAATTTTCAAAAAATTAAAAAACTTGGTACGAACCTGGTATTCCTTTCAACTTTGGCAGAAATTCGTTCCAGAAAGCACAATACGTGGTACGTGGCCCTTTACCAAGACCAGTCTTCTCCGCGTCGAAGATGAAGTATTTTGGTTCGTCTCTCGAATACGATGGCCATTCAGAGTCTTCTTTCGTTGGTTTTCTGAAAAAAAAAGATATTGCGTTCGAAACAAAGAAACAATATAATTTTATAACAATCGTTGATAACATTGGGGGCAACATTGTATCGAAAACGACAAATTTATATACATTTTTTCACATCCTATCACTAATTATCAACGTCAGAAAAGAATTATTTCGCAGATAATTAACTCAAGTAATATACAACATCGAGGTGAGGCATATTTAATCCGATCTCGTTTAAAATTAACAAACAACCGATGCCACCGATGTTAATAAATTGAACAGTTTCTGGAGGATGGTTTATTAATTATTGAAAGAGCATGCCTTCTCGCCACGATCCGCGTATCAATCAAACATTTACACGGGCCATCTTCCCGTTAATCAATTAGCCGCCGACATATCCATCTTCTTCTCGTTCATCAAGCGTTGTTCATCGAAACTAATTACGAGGCAAAACATATTCATCGACACAAAATGATACAACGAAATAATAAATATCGAGTATATGTAAAATACGAGGGATAACGCGAATATGAAAAACAAAATAAAAAAAATATATATAGAAAGAAAAAGAGAGACAGAGAGAGAGAGAGAGAGAAAAGAGAAAAAAAAATAATCAACGTGTTACAAAGATTCCTAGATAAGTTGATAATCGTTTGGAATGAAAAAAAAAAAAGGAAAAAGAGAGAGAGAGAGAGAAAAAAATAAAGAATCCCGGAGGCTTGATGGATGATGTCCGCTCGACACGTGACATATCGGCCTCTTTGTGTCCAAGCGTCGATAAATAATTCTTCAGTTTCCAGTTAACCCAGATTGAAAAGCCGAGCCACGGAACGCGTCGTAGCCTCGCGATCTTTAATATTTAATCGCAGTCGTCAAACACAACGATGAACCCAGAACGGAATTAATTCGAGGGCCGAGTTTCCGTTCGACCAGCTACGTCACAGGCCTCCTCCGTGGCCAACCTTCTGCAATTATTAATCGGCCCTCGGATATAGAGATCGGGGATCTATTCTCGCAATGAAAGGTCGTCGTAACGTGATCGATTTTTGCTGAAGCGTGGAAATTTGAGATTTTTTTCTTTTTTTTTTAAAAGGATTCGCGAAAGAAAGATACTTTTGGATGTAGGTGGTTGGCGGTGTGGAGGAATTTTATTCAATAACTTCGTTTTGATTCTTGGAAATTTTAGAATCGTGAAATTTTTCAATGCTTTTCTTTTTTTATTTTAGGTTAGTGTTGAAACGAGGCCAGGCGTGAATACGAAATGCAATTTTGAATCGTTGTTTTAAATGAGCAGAGTGACGTTTTGAAAATATTTCGAGAGACGAGTTTTATTTTTACAAAGGAATCGATCAATCGAAAGTTAGAGTATATTCCACTTTCTGATAAATGAAATGAATTGTGACATTGGCTAAAATAAATTGCGTCCAAAAATTACAAAATCAGAAAAATTCAAAAATTTTACGATACTCTACAATTCCCAATAAGCAAAATGACTTTTGACATCTACTGTTACAGAAAATATAATTTGTGTTCAAAAAATACAAAACTTACAATTTAGTGTATCAAAAGTTATTCCACACTTTCTAATAAACAAAATGACTTTTGACATCTAGTATTAAAAAAATTAATTTGTATCCAAAAAATTCAACAAATCAGAAAAACTCAAAAGTTACAATACTTCACACTTTCTAATAAACCAAAATGACTTTTGACATCTACTATTACAGAAAAGTAATTTGTGCCCAAAATTAAAAGTTACAACAAGTTACTCCACATTTTCTAATAAACCAAAATAACTTTTGACACCTACTATTAAAAAAACTAATTTATATCCAAAAAGTGCAGAAAAATTCAAAAGTTATAGTACTCCACACTTTCTAATAAACCAAAATTTTTTGACTTTTGACATCAGAAAAATAATTTGTGTTCAAAACCAAAAATTACAATTTAGTATATATATATAATATCAAAAGTTACAAGTTACTTCACACTTTTTAATAAACCAAAATAACTTTTGACATTTCCTCTATTAAAAAAACTAATTTCTACCCAATAACTCCAACAAATCAGAAAAATTCAAAAGTTACAATACTCCACACTTTCTAATAATCCAAAATGACTTTTCACATCTACCATTACAAAAAACTAATTCTCAAAAAGAATTACAACAAATCAGAAAAATTCAAACTTTACAGCACTTCCTAATAAGCTTGAAACAACGAAACACATTACCTACAATATAATCGTGTCCAAAGGATCAAAAAAATCCTCCCCAAAAAATCAAAAAAAAAAAAAAAATAAAA